TTCATGTATGTGCAGAATCCTTGAGGTGCGACAGGCTATTCTTGTACTATATATATATATAGAGAGAATAATATCTAGAATTTCTATTTATATATTACACCGAAACGGATTTTTCCATTTCTAAAAATTTGTACAAGTTCTACTCACAACTAATATTAACACGAAGGTCCATTCAGAAGTTTCCCAACTGTACAAAGTACACTTTCAATTTACGTTAACATGAAGGTTCATACATTTACAATTTTGATAGAACAAAAGTTACACAAATATTTGATTCTGATTACAATTTCTCTCAAGCTACTCCTGCTGTACAACGCATGATAAGGCTGCCATTACTTTGAAAGAATTCACAACAGTTTGATGAGCTTGACTACTCAGTAAGTGACCGTCATTATCCTAAATTCATAATTGGAAAATGTAATAGTTTTTAAAAGAATGCATATTAAAACAATACGAAGAGGAACATACATGAAGAACAATTTTAAGTTCAGAAACACACAATTTAATATAATCCCAAGGATTGAGTTGCATACAAACACTTTGACAAAAATGCATAATTCAAGAGATTTCACAAAATACCCTATTGGCATCCCAAGTAGGTCTCCTATATACCCCACCAGCCTCTTGGATGGGTCCACTTAATCCCTGTAGGTCCAATCATACCTCACCGGCGTACCGGATGAGTCTACTTAATTCCTACCGGCGTACCGGATAGGTCCACTTAATCCTTCCAATCATACCTCATCGGCATATCGGATGAGTCCACTTAATCCCTATCGGCTCACCAGATAGGTCCACTTAATCTCTGCAGGTCCAATCATGCATCACCAACATACCGGATGAGTCCATTTAATCCCTACCGGCATACCAGGTAGGTTTACTTATACTTAAATTATCTTTGAAACTCTTTAAACATCAGAAAGCATCAATATCATATATTTAAAATATCATTGAAATCCTTAATGTGAATTCACTTGAACCAATTAATAATAATCACTTTCATTAAAATATCTATAAGTAGCTAGTCAAACATATTGGGCAATAATTTCAGAAAGGTAGCAGCTCGGAAAGACTTTATTGAAATGTAATATGATAGACAGAATTATCACAATTTATTGAGAATGCAAATATGCAAATAAGCATTTCATAATAATAGATAGCGTTCAAACAGACAAAGTACAATTAAACAATAGTGGCAATACTACAATCAAGTGCAAAAATATCAGTTTTTCGAATAATGATTTTATAGGAGAATGAAGTCATTTTCACATGAATTTTGCAGTGTCGAAATATTTAAAACAATAAAAGGAAATCTCACAATTTTACTAAAAGAGGAATTACCAATTCCACTTTACAAGAAAATGAAATCATTTATGCATAACACTTATAAAAGTGATGTACAGAATATCATAATTTATTAAAAGCGGACTAATTTTCAGGAGAATGAGGTCACTTACGTTTATAGGTCACGAGATGGGTATGTGGCTACTGCTATCCGAGTTTGATCGAGATTATTGGCGTTCAGCTAAAGGGGTGGGACAAGAGGCCAAATGAGTTTTCTTTTTATGGAGAGAGAATATGTTCATAAGGGAGAGGAAATATTACATAATCATTAAAATAATAATATCGTTGCGAGAAAATAATACTTCGTGAGTGTATTATTCAAATTATGAGAGGATGATGCATAAGACTGTCATGAAAATGAACATACTATCATAATAATATAATAAATGAGAATGATTTGGGAATGAAAATACTATTTTGGGAATACTCTGGGATTGACAATGATATACTATATGGGGATGATATGAGAATGATATCATGTATGAGGATGATATGAGAGTGAAATATTGTAATTTAATATATGCATGATATGAGAATAAAATACAATGATATATGGGAATGAAATCATTATAGTATAATATATGAGAATGTCATGAAATTAAGACTACTATTATAAGAAGGTAACATTTTATAATCATGAGAACATCATTACAATCATTATGAGAGAGATATGATGAGGGAGAGATGAGAATGAAAATTATTAAAATTATGAGAAATTATGAGAGCATGATGAGATGATAATAGAAACTTATTAAAATTACACAATTATGAGACCATGATGAGATGATAATAACAACTTATTAAAATTACACTAGTATGAGTGCATGATGAGATGATAGTAACCACTTATTAAAATTACACTATTATGAGAGCATGATGAGATGATAATAACCACTTATTAAAATTACACTATTATGAGAGCATGATGAGATGATAATAACCACTTATTAAAATGACACTGTTATGAAAGCATGATGAGGGAGGGAGAGAATAACTGAAATTGAAATGAGTGAGAGAGAAAGAAGGAACTTACGTAGAGAGAGAGAGAGGAGCTCCTATTTGATAGGGGAGAGAGAGAAGACCAATTGATGCTTTGTTTAAGGGGCCAATGGTTATCAACTTGGTGTGGTCTCATCATATTCAGATTTTCGTGCTCATCTCTGTTTTTGTTGTGTGTCTACCTGTTCTGAATGTCTGTGGCTGATGTGGTCTGAGTGTTGAGATCAACCGAAGATCCAGTTTGACAAGCCCTGTATCCAATTCACATCAGTCAAGTTGAATGAAAGGATCAACTTGGCATGGTCTTATCATTCAGATTTTCCAGTTGTTAAGATACAAGAATATTTATGTTGTCATAGTGGCTCTGGGCTCAGCTGAACCGAAATATCCATATTAATTATGGGTGTGTCATGTGCCCATCAGCTGATTGGATTAATAATTTTTGAGCTGTTTGGTCATCTAAGTGCTTTTATGTCACATCATTGAGGAGAGGAATAAGATAAAGAGGCACTTCCTTTCTTTACAGAGAACAAAAATTTAAAGAGTCCGATATCATGGGGGCCTGTATCTCTATAGTTCTGTGGCCTCAACATGATGAATTTCATAAGTGAGTGGAGGCTGGTGGCTCCCTCGTGCTTATGAAACCAAGAAAAAGATGTCAGACGGAAGAATCCAGATCTTGGGCATTTTAAGCTCAATATTTACTACCGCTCTCAGGAAAACTAAATGTGATTAAATCAATGGTTTAAAAAAAGGATCGGTGCCCTGGATCGGGCACCTCAAAAACCCATCCGGATCGGTGAATCGGCGATCCGGATCGGGAATCGGTCGAATCGGTTGGATTAAGCCTTAAATAAAATCCAAAAAAATTATTAAAATTCATTGTAAATGTTGTTTTTTAGGAATCCAATAAGAAATGAGGGTACTACATTAATAACTTTTATTTTTTGGAGATGTTGCTTCCCTGTATGAAGATTCTCATCAAACATTTATTAAATCCTAACTAAATACAATATTATACATTGAAAATAGAATAATTGGTTTGTATTTTTATTAATTGATCATCATTTTACTATACAAGTAAGAATAAATTAGAAATTTGTCTTATAATATCATCTAATTTAAAATCTAATTTACAAATATAACAAAAAATAATAAATTACATAATTTATAATGTAAATAAATTAATAAATAAAATATAAGATTTGATTATTATTGTGGTATAATTATTAATTACAATATTATAATAAACATGATTCATAAAACAAGGTACGACCCTCATAGAAAAAAAAAAAATTAAGTACTAAGAAACTCAAAATCTTTTTTTCTTTATTTTTTATTTTTATAAATATTGATAGATTGCAAAGTGGAACATAATATTTTAGATCCTTTTTTATTGTTCAAAAAAAATATATTTTAGATCCAAAAATACTCCATAAATAAGCTTTTTCACCAAAGAGATTAAATTTAAATTGTGATCCTGCAGGTACACGCAATCTTTTTCACCACTTCTGTGGTGCCTTTATGCATGCCCTTTAAGTTCTTATGTTAGTTTTTCTATTTAAAGAAACAATCCCACATCGAAGATTTAGGATTGTCCAAGTACCTATAAATAAAACCCAATTGAGGCTTGGAAGGAAGGGTGTGCATGAGGTTGGGGTTTGTGCATGTGAGCTGGCGGGGGCCATGACAGGAAGCTTGCGGGTGAGCTGGCGTGCTGTGGGGTTCGTGCCTGAGCTGGCGGCTAGGGCTTATGGTGGGTTTTCTTGCCTTTTTACATTGACACATGGCATAATATTGGCAAAATTGCCGGATCCTGTTTTGTTTGTGGATCCGGAACGGTCTCACCGATACCCGATCTGGATCGTTCGATTCCGGATCGGATCGACGATTTTTAAATCACTGGATTAAATAGACATGCAAGGAGATCGGAACCCCTTGACAGGCAGCGAATACTTTTACTGAAAGTTTGGGAGTTGCTAGGATATGGCACAACCTTTAGGAGGGGAATGAGAATGCCGATGCTTTGGGAAAAGTGGATGTTGAAAGAAAAAGTTGTTTAATTTGCCTTAACTAAAGTTCTTGAGGCTCTTCTGATATGACATCTCATCATTGTTTTTTGCATCTTTCTTTGTCTTATATCATACCTCCCATATTCGTAATGAAAGGTGCAAGATTTGGCTGCTCACTTTTAGTAATCCATCCAATACTGTGGGTGGTCAAATCTGGTGGGATCCCAACTGCCCCCCATTTTTCGTGCTCTAGAATCAAAACTAGGGTGGGTTTTAGCAAGAGTGGCTGAATGTGTCCTATAATGAAATTGTTCTGATTGTGATAAATGATCTATTTATTTGCATTTTGCTAGGTTCTTTCTGTTAAGTTCTTCAATGTTTCCCCTTCTGTTTATGATTTGTCAATTGAAAAAAAGGAATGTTTTTTATTGGTGAACAATATGGGAAGTTTAGCCTTTGCTCCTTGGAATTGACTCTCTTGACAAACTTGATGAACAAACTTCTTTCTTTTTGATGAGTGAAAATGATAAATAAACTTCACTTGACACATTGAATATCCTAAAACTGATGGAACCCCTTCCCCACTGAACTACCTAAAAAAAACTACACATTTGGAATCTGACCCAGTCGCATGGGCATCTGCAGGTGTGGTAGCGAATTTTCAATTCTGGCTATTCCTTTTGCTGCCACGGAATATGGAAAAATAGCTGCTGTATTGTATCGACATCGTAAAATATTGGGATCATCTCAAGGCTACATTAGTTTCCTTTTCTATGGGATCATCTCAAGGCTACATTAGTTTCCTTTTCTACTTTTGTAGTATACATTGCTTCTCTGTTTTGAATCTTCGAGACTGTGAGAAAGAAGATCTGTCAAACTCATTGCATAACATACAAGGATATTTAAACTGTTACTCCTTGTGGCACAAACTAACTCTTGCAAGCTCCTATTTTCAGACAATTTCTCACTCTTCAACTTTCCATTTGGATGATCATAAACTCATGCTTCTAGAGAATTACAGCAACCTTTCTATCCACTCTCAAAAGCAATTGTAATCTTGTTTATATAGAACCTAGGCTCTAAAAAATCAAATAAAAATATATTTTAAAGTTAGTCAAAGATTTCTAGTATTGAAACCACATTTCTCAACACTATTTGAAGATGGGCTCTAATTTGATTGTTTAGAACCTCGTCTCTGTTCGAACCGCACCCATCTTAAAATATCTGGATATGCAGCTAAACACCTTTCAGTGGCATTACTTATCCCAACTAGTAATACAGGCTCACATTAGATATTCTAATCAAATTACAAAAGATGTGGATGCCATGTGGAGAAACGCCCAATATCATTATTTAAAAAATCGTCGATCCGATCTGGAATCGGGTGATCCGGATTAGGTATCGGTGACACCGTTCCAGATCCTCTAATAAAATGGGATCCGGTCTTTTTTGTCAAGAAATCACCCTGATGATGTCATAAAGCGGATGTCACCGCATAGGTTCGCCCTGATGACGTCATAAAACGGATACGTCACCGGTTCGCCCTGATGATGTCATCGATTTTGAAAACTGCCTAACAAATTTTTTTGAAACCCATGTAGTTTTTTTGAAACAGGGCGATGACATCATCATTTTTGAAAACTAATAGTACGAAAGACCGACCATGTGGCCACGTCCAATGCATAGGCAAGGTCAACCTCCTGCATGTTACATTGACAACCAAGTGCTGTACATTGCCAAGTTATATAAGCATATTTCTTCCCACCATCTATCGATGTGGGATATTTCTTTTGTCTTGGCAATAGAGTCTACAATTAAGGAAGACTTTTTCATTAATAGCTCTCTCTTATATAAGGAAATTCTCATCTATAAAATAAATAGTCTACAAATTTTTTTTTTTTTTCTCTTTTAATTGATTATATTCAATTTTAGTTTTATAATTTTAAAAAATAAAGTACATATAACTAAGTTTGAATTACACATAAATACAAAAAACAAATTATACATAATAAATACAAAAAACAAATTATACATAATAAATTTACAAGAATTAATATAATTATATGAAATTTTTGTTATTTAAGTTAATAACTCAATATAATTATGTTAAACTTATGTCATTATAATTATGTGAATATGAGCATATTAAAATGACATTCGATGCAGCCCCCTTTTAAGTCCTCTTTCGTCTAGGTCCTGCAGGGTCGCCACGACCCCCGCCGCCGGTGGCTCTTCTCCTTCCTCGTCTCTCCCTCCTTCTCCTCTTCGGTTGTCTTCTTTCCCTTATTCTGTCGTGGTGCCACCTGAGATCTCAGTCCCCCTTTCTGCTAAGCTGTGTTCCTCTCTGGTGGGTACTTTTCATCCCCGAAGGGACGATTTCAGAGCGATTGAAAAATGGGGCCAGCGTGTTTGGAACGTGCCCAACCTAGTGTGCAAGCAATTACACGACGGAGCGTTTCTTTTCTCGTTTCCGTCCATCCCAGGAGCTCGCTCCGCTTTGAGCTCTCCCCCCTTGTCCTTTAAGGGTGTGACTCTTTCCCCTAGGGAATGGTCTCCGAGTCTCGGCTTTACTCGACCTTTGAGAGTTTGGCTCATGGTATTCAACATCCCCCTCCACGCTTGGTCCCCCCCGACTTTCAGGACAATTGTAGATTCCTGTGGTCAACTGGTCGTATCCTCTAGAGGTCGATAGAATTCTTAGCTCATGGTGCTATTTGACTATTGGTGGAAACCCTGGATCCTACTTTCATCCCCTTGGTTTGGATCGAGGTTGAAGGTCTGTATTACTGTTCCCATATCTCCTAGACCTTGGCCTCACCCAATTCGTACTCCTTGCTTGTTCCTCCGCTGATGGACGCAGTCAAGCCTTCCTCGTCAGATTGGACAGTGGTGATGTGAAAACGCGGTGCAACCTTCAACCTCAGCCCAAGCTCGCCGTGGCCCACTCTTGGAGACGTCCAATGGCTCCTTAGCAACAAACTGCACACAAGATAGGGAGAACAATCAACCACATGGTAGTGATGGGTGATAGACTTGTAGCGACCCCGCCGTCTGTCTCTGAGGACAACCCCATTCTGGCTCCAGCCGCCTCCCTGTCACCTCCTCGCTGCCCTCTGTCCCATCCTATCAGAGCCTGTACACCCCCCTGACGGAGCCTTAAATCCCAGATCAGGATTACAGTCCCTAGCATCTGTCGGGTCGTCACCTCGAGGAGGCCGCCCTCCAATCGGGCCTTACCGAGCCCCTCTCCTGCTCTCCGTACCTCACGGCTGTGGTACCTACGCTTGCCCCTACCCATTCTATCTTATCTGCAGCCCCTCTCTCACCGTCCCACCCCTCCCCTCCCCTCCAATCTCCCCCCCCAATCTCGACACCTGTCCCTCACCCCTCTTCCCATCCGCCTGAGCCTTCCGTCCATCCGTCGCCTGTCCATCATGCGCACCCTCCTAGGGATTCCTGCCCCCCTTCCTCTTCCCCCCCTCGGGACCCTCCCTGCCTCGATCCCCTCCACGTCTTCTTCTCCTAGCCCCTTCTTTCCTCTCTCACCCTGTTCGCTTCCCACCGCCTCCTCCTGTCCAACCTTCACTCCTTACTTCCCTCCCTCCCTCTGGTGCCATGCCCCCTTGTCTCTCCATTGTCGGCCTCCCCCTTGTCCCCTCCTCCCTTCTCGAGAGTCCTTTCCCCGCTCTCGTCCTCCATTTCATCATGTTTGCTTTTGGTGTTCCCCCTCCTCCTCCTCACCCCCTGCCGTCTCTGCTCAGCCGCCCATCTCTTCCTCGTTGACGGACTCGCTCGAGGCCTCTTTTGAGATCCTGATGGCTCGATCCTTTGACTTTTCTACGCTTGACCCTACCCTGCTCGCCTTCCTCTTGGCTCCCCTCATGAATTATACACCTCTACCTTGGTTCCCATTTGCCAGGTAAACTCTCCCCCTGGTTCCCTGACCTACTGCACCAACTAACCCCTCTGTACCCTTGCTATCAACGACATGGCCCTTTCGCAATCTTGATCCTTCTCCCTGGCCCATTCCCGGTGGCCTTCTATCCCATCGCCCCTCTTATCTTCTGCTCTCGTCACCCTTTCTCGCCTTCGTCCGTTCCTGACCTTCTCCTCGCCCCTCTTCCGGCCCAGTGAACACCTGGGAATTCAGCCTCTTCCCTCAACCTTTCCCACCCCCCCCACACCCTCCCACTCGACCCTTTCCTCTCAGACACCTCCCTTTCCTTACCACCTGTGTCCACCCATTCTCTTGAACCCTACCTCGATCTTCCCTCGGACTTCCTCCATTCTCTCTCCCTCGATCCCCTTCTCCCACTTGTTGCCGTCCTATCTCGACAGGCCTCGTCGGACCCTTCCAGTTCTGGCGGGTCCCTCTCCCAGTCCCCCCCCAGCTTCGGTAGACTCCAATTTTGTTGAAGGAGTTGATCGCAGGCAGGAAGACCTCATGGAGGTTCTTAGAGTAATGGGTTTTCCCCCGGAAGGCCCCTTTCACGTTTTTTTCAAAGATGATATCCAAAGTCGGCTCAAGGTAAGAATCAAGGGGTGTAGGGAACTTCACAATCTCTCCTCTAGCTTCAATTATGATCTCAAGGCTCCCTCAGATATTCCAGCTCAAGAGACTATGCCAGCCCCTTCCCTTAGTCTCCTCTGTAGGAGATCCCCCAGACTGGCTGCTCAGCCCCTTACCCTCACATCCTCATGAAACTCACTTCATTGAATGTTAGGGGTTTGGGTCTAGAACCCAAACGATCTGCAGTCAGGGACATGTGTGCCAAACATAATCCCACCCCACCCTTTTAGCTCTCATCGAAACCAAACAGCCGGCCTCTTTACAATTCATATGACAAGTCTGGGGTCGTAGACCGTGCCAGTGGTTGTCTCGGCCTGCGCTAGGCGCCTTAGGGGGCAGCTGCCTTAGTTGGAATCTGGCAGAACATTCTCTCCAGTCATCCCTGATTGGAGAATTTTCTATCACGACCATCCTTTCTTGCACCTCTGATGGCCTGCCCTAGAAGTTCACAGCGGTTTACGGTCCAAACTCTCCTGCCCTAAGACCTGTTTCTGGGCAGAACTTGACCGCGTGGCCTCGCTCCCACACCTTGTCTGGTAGGGCAGGTTTCATCCTGCAAACCAAGCTCCAACTCCTTAAGAAATCTCTTAAAGAGTGGAGTAAGAACATCCTTGGGAACTTCTCCCTAGTAAAAACTTCTCTTCTCAATTCTATCCAGGAGCTGGACAATCTGGAGGAATCCAGACCACTCCTCCTCTGAAAGCAATCTCAGATCCCAACTGAAATTGGACTATCTCTCCACCCTCAAGAAAGAAGAAATTTTTTAGTACCAGAGTTCCATAGTGAAATGGCTCAACCTGGGAGACCATAAACACAGGCTTCTTCCACTGGATAGCTAATTGCCGACGCTGAGTAAACTCTATCTCACTCCTTAAAGTGCGTAATTCCATTCTGGACCAACCTACCCAGGTGAAAGCAGCCATCTTGGCTTACTACAAAAATCTCGACTTGGCTCCTAGCGATCCAAGATCGAGAATGGGTAATCAACGTTTCCACTCACTCCCCCAGGAGTGGTTATATTGGTTGGAACGCCCATTCTCAGAACAAGAACTACTGAAAGCAATCACGAATCTCGGCAAAGACAGCGTCAGGTCCGGACGGCTTTCCGTTGGCTCCCTTCAAGGCGTTCTTGAGAACTTTAGGTCCGACTTCCTCAATTTCTTCAAAGAGTTCTACCATAGGGGCATCATTCATAAAGCAATAAATACCACCTTCATCGCCTTAGTCCCCAAGATGGAAGGAGCCGACAAATTAAAGGACTTTAGACCGATCAGTTTGGTAAACTCCTGATACAAGATACGCTACAAGATACGCTCAAAAGTGCTGGCAACTCGTCTGAAAGAAGTGCTACCTTTTGTTAT